AGTGGTTTTGTGAAACACGTCACAGGTCTCCTTGTTATCACATCGTCAAGCCAAGAGGTGGTTAGGCTCTGTGCTGAGTGGGAATCAAAATCAAATCTAAAAATCCACTTTAAAACCGGCAAATGACAAACTGTATCGATTACTATCAAACCTGATAGTGACGCACATGAGCAAAATACAAAGTTTGCACAAAATAACTATGATTGGATGATGAATGTCACATTGAAGCAGTCGTGTCATTGCATGAACTCTCGGACTCACCCGCGAGAATAGATGTGGCTGAGGGCTGCTGCTGCTGTGAGGCGACTCCAGGGGTGAAGAAGGGGAGGGGGAGGAGGGGGAGGAAGGCGACGGGGAGAGGGACGAGGCGTGGCGGGAGGACGGGGACAGGCTGAGGTCCATAGCCGGAGGAGTGAAGCAGGACCCGGGTCGTTCATGAGGGGAAGACTGGGAATCTGTAGTGGAGGTTAAAACAGAGTTATAATGGGATTTCTTTATGTGTCCCATATTGTATAAAGTGAGACTTCCATGTCTTTTTTCATTATTGATCAGGTCTAGGTTCTGTATTAATACTGTGAGAGTATCAAAGCGCTCAGTCCACAGAGAAACGCACACAGCCTGTATTCAGACACTGAGTCTAAAAATGAGCTGTCAGCACTTCTGTAACTTTGTGATGTCACAACAAAGATGTCACCGCCCTCAGCCATGCCTGAAGCCCCGCCCACCTGACCCCACCATCCAACCTTGTAGGAATTGGTTTCTCTGAGTGTTTACCTCAGAGAGGAGATGTAAAACTACACTGAGATGGTTTTTGGCTCCACAAGTATACCTTCTTATGGATCAACACTTCAAATAAAACACTGGAAAAATGTAAAATATGGGACCTTTAAAAGTTGCTCTCATTTTAACCAACACTGTGCAGCTTGCCTTTACATTAAAACAACATGGATGGATGATGACAACCCCTTCAAAATTCCACATAGTCAATTGATTTGATGCTAAAATAAAGAATAGTGATTAATATTGCTTCACGTGCACAGTTTTCTAGTTCAGCCCATTTTGCTGTTGGGCATGTTGGTGTCCCTGAGCCTCTATTTGGGAACATCAGCAGAGTTACATGTGGGTACACAGAACCAGAGAACATCACAGATAATATTAAACAAGAAAACACAGACACTGCAAAGCCTGCACACTATCAGAAATTTCAAGTATGATGTTAGTTAAACAGAACATTCAGACTGTTACAGAAGCCATGTTGTGGTTTTTCTTTGAGGTCGCTTCATGTCAGTGTCACGCTCCTCTTGTTAAGAGCCACACTCTCAAATCTGGGGACAATGTATGTCTGTTTGAGGAGAGAGATCTACCATTCATTGGATTTACAATATTAAGTTACTGGGAAAGTGAGAACAGATAATGCAATAGTATAATAAACGGATTATCACAGTGACAGTCTGCACTGCAACATGACGTTAGCAAAGGCATGTGCTTGTAGATCAGAAGGGGGGGGGGCGGAGAGTTTGCCAAAAATATGTTCTTGAACAACGTTACCTGGGGAGGAGGGTGGTGAAGGAAAGGTTGTACATAGCAGGCGTGGTCGTGTGGTGCTAAGAGGGGCACAGATAGAGGAAGGACAAGCCCTCTTTCCTAATCTCACTGGACCGTCTGTCCGTCCGGAGGGAAGCTTCAAGTCCAGCGGCTCGTCCAGCGACAGCATGGCTGCTGGTTACTGCTGCCCACCTGGGGAGAGACAACCAGGTTCACAGGATCCTTCTCTGACTCCATGTGCCAAGTATCACAAATAACATTCATCATAAATATCATTGGATCTTTAACTTCTTCTCCCTCGAGTATGGCAAAACTTGTAGCTTTCAGTGTCTTTTTGACTTTTAATTTTTGTTTGTTGTTGGATTGATGCTTAAAACCGGCATTCATTTATCTTTTTGGCCACTTGGCAGCACTGCAACAAGTTATGAACACAACAGAGATATATCTTCACCTCATAAAGTTTATAGGGGTTGTTAGCAAACCGCTGCTCAGTCACACATCTAACAGACACAGAGCAACATTAATACTTCAATTTATAATCATTATTCACTCTCTTTCACTCTGCCAGTCGGCCAACTAATAAGGTTACTATCCGGCTCGTTGGTTTAGTCACTAACTTTGTCTCCTTTATCTCGAGATAATAAAGCTCTGTTATCATATCGAGATAATGAAATATAAAAAATATTTGTGAGCATGGCTTTTGTAGGTTTCTGTACTGCTCATAAGATCAACACTTCTGCTTCTGTAAAGCTTCTGCTAGCTCTTTATTACATTTGTCTACAGTGGAGTACAATAAAAATTGAAAATATCTTTTTCACTTAGGGGGACAGCTCTCTGTTTGTCAAAAATCTCAAACGTTCACAAACAGGATGGTTAATCATTCAGTGACTCAATTCATCTCACTGAACCTTTTCGAAGGGCTCTGATGCAGAGGACTGGAAGCTTTTAGGAGTTTGCGAACCCTTTTCTTTTTGCTGTATGACTCCCATAATCCTCACATGCTCTCTCTCCCTCTCTCTCTCTCTCTCTCTCTCCCTGACAGAGATCCACAGGTGTCTTGTGGGTGTTAACCACTGCAGGAAGTCCCCTCCTGCACTCACAGTGGACCGAGACAAGTCTGACCCGTTGGATAAGACACACGTCTGCTACCTGGGAACCAAAACAACCGCACGGACTGTCTCTCTCAGTGGGACATTGACCAGTCGGGTAAATAAAATGGTTTTGCATCAATCTGCCACTGACATCAGTGAAAAGCAGGGGAATATCTGAGGTGATGGCAAATCAGTGCGACTGTGTAAGAAACACCACATTAAAATGTTCTCCATAAAAATGTCTACTTTACACTTTAATAGACAGCTCAACTATAATTTCAGCTGTCTGCTTTTCTAAAAATAAGTTTTGAATTATTGTGAAATCATTCCAGCAACATTAGTCACAGCTACAGTCAGATCTTTTGACACACTACTAAAGCGGTTTAAATACTGTATTGTGGCTCCCAGTGAGTGAAGCGTATTAAGGAGGGAAACAGCCAGTGTATTTTTGGCAGTAAACAAAAAATAAATCAGTTAGAGTGGAGTGGCTGCTTAACATCAGTTCAAAGTAGACAGACTCTGACTTCCTTGAACCAACACATTTTGATTGATACAGCTCACTAGAGTTTAGATTGAAATATTTTTGTATTCGTATAGATTTTAGTTTTTATAAACCGGATTTCTTAGCACATTCCACTTACTTCTTACATGTACCTGTCACACCTTTAACCCTCACACACACCTGTACCCCCATAAAACAGGAAGGCAGGAACCTAAACCACCCTGAGGCAGGGGCACATAGATAAACCATTTAAATGTTACGCACAACCAAAAATACTGATAATGAAACAGTAACTATTGGAGTAATAATAAAATTAAAACTTAAGTCAGCAGTCCAACGGTCAAATAAACAAATAAATTGCACTGCGGTTACTGCACTACTGCTGCTGCGTTATCAATATTTATCTGATTTTATCTAACTCTGACCACATTAAACTGTACACATTGTCTCTTTACACTGGACATAATATAAAAGTGCTTGGTGTTTATAATTTATACAACAAAACCCTTATACTGTACATACTGTCTATTAGCTCTGTTCATACTGTACATACTTACATGACAAACACTGACATCATGTGGTCATCACAGATATATACATACATATATATATATATATGTATATACATATCCCAACCAGTTAATTAATTATTCCTGTACAGTAGTTTATCTTAAACATCTCTATATACACTTTTGCTACTGCAATGTCTGATTAGATGCTAAACTGTATTTTGTTATTCACTGACAATAAAGTTTTATCTGATGTAATCTAATACAGTGATATATTATTCAATATATCACACATAAATTAATTATGGTATTGGTGTTTAAGTAACCAAAGTAAACCAAAATATTATATGTTACACTTAAATATAAAGAATGTATGTCGCAGTAGGAATCCATGACGGCTGAATTTCTTTTAGTCGCTTCAGTTTCAGGGTCCTGGCACCGTCACGTCTTACTGGGACCTTGAATGCAGCAGAGCGATCCTTAATATTATTAGTAACACATGTGCTTTTCCCTCTATGAAGAGTCAAAATGTCTGCTGTGACAAAGGCCTATCATGATGTATCAAATAATCAGTCAGTAGCTGAGTGAGCTGGGAACGAAAGCGAGAGATATAACCAATGATCTGCTTTGCATGTGACCCATAACGCCAGTGAACTTTCCTCGGTCTGTACATTTTACTTTCACAGCTATGCACAAAGTTTTAAGAGTGTGTTTACTTTCTTAAAATATAAAGATTAAAATCTGTGGAGTGTCCTTGTAAAACATTCTGTTGAAAATATAGACCAGCTTTACTCCTTTTAGATTTAGCTGTAGACCAGCGTTAGTCCACGAGGGTCAAATGCTGTGTCGGGAATTTCAGTTGTTGCTGTGTTCGTGAGGGAGAAACCTCTGAGAAGCATTATGATGTGGGTTTGTTATTGTGATCCTCTACATTTCTGTGGTCCGCCTTCACTGACGGGCCGAAGGAGATTTCGCAGTAGTTTTCCACCCATCGCGGTATGATACTCTGGATGAAGCATGAGACAAAAAGCTACTCTGGTCCATGACTCAACTCGTAAGGTCCTGTTAGACCGAATGACTCAAGATCCAGATATCTGCTTCAAAGGAAAAAAAAAAAAATCTCACAGGAGGAAACCAAAGGCGGAAAACTCTGCAGTGAAATGGACCAAACCTGCAGGGAAATGCTTGACAGCTGCTGGGAAAGTTGACACAGCACACGCACGTGTTTTTCAGTAACACCCTGCGTCTCATTCACACTGTTACAAAATTTTTACACCTGAGACCTGCCCAGAACTTCCTCAGTCATCTGTTAGTCTAATATCTATCCAGTTTACCATCACTCACTCACTTTTTTGTAAATCTAGACTTCTTAAAATTGCAGAACACCGCTGCTGAAGACGAGAGCCTCGACTGATACACTGACACAGCTCATATTTTCCACCAATTTGTCCAATCTGCCTACGTTACATCATCATATGACTTCAAAAGACAGGAAGAAAGGAAGCCAATAAGTAACAAGAAATTATAGAACAGAAATGTCAAATATATGTCAGGTAATTTAGAAATGGGGTTGATATTAAATAGCTTGTCTGCCAGAAAGCATTTTTCAGCTGTAAAATGTTTTGATTTGTGCATATCTTGGTCATTATTCTTTAATAACCCAATTAAAAATATCCTTTAGGCCAACCTTGAGAACTTGTTCTGAAGATCATACTGTACATTACACTCGGATGGAGAAGCTGTAAGGCTAACACAACCGTTAAAGACATGGTTTGACAGTCTGGGAAATACTTATGCTTAATCGCTCTCGTGAAGAGAGTTAAATGAAAAGAGCGATAATGTGAGGTTGCTAGGAAATCACAGCTTATCATTTTTACATCTGTTTGTGTTCGACATTAAATTAACAAGACACTTGCGTTAATTTGTGAGTTTTAGAGGTGCTAGTAGCTGTAATTTAAAACTTTGGACTAGCTATTTAAGCTAATCGTCTCCTGGGTCCAGCTACAAACTAAACCAGCTACTAAACAGGGTGGCATCGACTTTCTCATCTAACTCTCAGCAAGAAAGCAAATCAACATATTTTTCAAATGTGAAACTATTCAATTAACCTTAGTCTGGAAAAAAAAAAAAGGCTTGCGGACTTTTCACTTTCTCTTGAAACCCTACACACACAGCACAGGCATGTTTTCAGGTGTCTGTTTTTCTAGACAGTAGTTATACTGTATATTTAGCGTTTGCCTCCAGCGGACCTCCTAAATGGCGCCAGACGTGGGCTGCAAGTAGATTTGTGACAAAACTGCAAAACCTCCATTGGGTGTCTCGCTATATAGCTCTTTAATGATAGCTGGCAGCAAGAGCATTCTTAATTTATTTTCACTGACTGGATTCAAACCGGCAACTTTCCAGCTACATGTACACCTCTTTAACTTCTAAACTTGCTGTCACCACAAATTCTTCCACAATCACCGACAGGATCCCCCGACATAATATGAGGCAGAGGCTAAACCACAATGAAGTCAGTGTTTAGGTCCTTCTGCCGGCCTGCCAGCTACCTCACCACACTGGTTTCACATTCCACGGCAACCTCGCTGACTTCTCTCACACACACACACACACACACACACACACTCTGCTATTTGGAGGTATTGTGAAGGCACGCACATACAGGACCATATGTATCCAGGCACGCATGCAGACTGAAATCACACCAGACATGCGCAAGAATCATAACCACACGTGAGCCCCCCCCCCACCCCCACCACCACCACAACCACCTCCAGCAGCTCCTCCCCCTCTTTTCCCTCAATGACCTGCGTTTGGGCAGCATGCCCGGACCCTCTTATGGATCCCCTACTGCCTAGCAAAACACATACTCTGACTGTTCACACACTTGCACACAGTCACATATAGTGACACACACACACGTTTGTCCGTCTATACTTGTGAGGACCGTCTGTGGAAAAAATGCACTCCTTAGCCCCTAAAATTAATCATCTCAACTACACGCCTAGCCCCTACCCTTACCCAAAGCCTAACCTTAAAACCAAATCTTAACCGTCAATCTGTTCTTTGAAGTGGCGAAGACCAATC